CCATCCATCATTGACGCATTATCTTCCGCTTATTCTGACGTCTGTCCGCTTCACCCTCAGTTGCAAACAGCTCCAGTAGAGCTGCAGATCACGGCATGATGCTGCCAACAGGACCACATTATCTGCCAAGGGCAGAGATGGAATCCTGAGAATGAAATGAAAAAAAGAAAATGGTTTCTCTTTTTAATTGTGTCGCTTTCATTAAAATTTACAGGACTTTAAAATTTAAAACAAATTGGAGGATGTTGCAAACGTTTACAAACATAAAATGCCTGTTTATCGCGTTTACATGGAATTTCAAATTAACAGGGACCCCTTGAACGCACCTCATTGTCTTCTGAGCAAACGGGAAAAAAACACCATCAGCTTTGGCGCTACACTTCGCAACGAGCGGGTCAGACACTGAACTTTACACATTGCTTCACATAATGCTTCACATAATGCGTCACATGAGTCCTTTATCCACTTAATATGAATGCGGCTATGAGATGCACACCACCTGCGGTGAGCACACGTTTCTTGCTTGTGTCACACTCAAAAAACGTCCGCGCTGAACTTCCGCTCCACTGAGTTCTGAACGAAATGCGTTAATTTAAAGGAGCGTTACAAAATATTTGTAGCAAACATACAAGGAAGAACTTTGAATTAGTTCACTGTCAGTAACACCGTTTTAAAGCTATAATTTGAAAAGTTTATGACATACTGACAGTAGTATTTGCTGTTAATTCGACTTTTCAAAGTATTTATAGTGTAACAAAAATCTTGTTGCAGCACTTAGCAATTTTTAGAAGAACGCTGCATTAAAGCAACCTCACTCAAAAATATGTTTAACTGATTTCTAGCAGTACTGCATGTTGCATTCTATGTGTCATGGTATGTTCAGTACTCCCATAAAGAGCACATAGGTCCTGTTTCAATACTGCAGGTTGTAAACATTATGGCAGGTAAACTCTCTCTCTCTCTCTCTCTCTATATATATATATATATATATATATATATATATATGAGCTTGGTCAGGGCACTCATGCCTTCATCATCACATGCTAACATGTCCATTTGCAACATAACCCCAAAACATTCTCTTGCTACATCCTTTTCTCTTTTTCAAACTTAAAGCTTTTATCTTAGACTAAAGCTATCCCAGTAATCAACAAAATAAAACTTTTCATATTTAGCTACTTAAATAAAAAGAGTTCAATCCAAAACATGTTCAGCAAGGGGCAATGTATTAAGACGGTTAAACAAAACCTATATCAGATGTATCCCTGTAAGCAAGTACAACCATAATTTTGTTTGTTTAGTGTTCAAAGGGAGAGTCAATATAATCAAATCAACATCAATGTTTAAATTTCATTATATATTTTTTTGCTATCCTTTTTGAACAAATACCACAAACAGTCCTTGTGTTATTTCTAATTTCAGTGCAATGCCTCCAAATGACTAATGTGACAGATTGTATGATCTGCATGATTGTACAAAGTCTTGGTATTGCTGTGGTAACTTCACTGTCTGACCAGCTCTGGTTGTGACAGGGGTCTCTCCTTTACTATTGTCTCTGTGTGCCGCTGAATGTCCATGTCTCAGCCTCTGGCTGACATTGGATATTTATACTGATATCAATTGTGTCACTGGTGGTACTTCCAGGTGCATGTCTAAGGTGTCTGCAGTTTCTCATAATGGTACTCGCAGATTGCGACTGAACATCATAGGACCTCTTTTTGATTGGATACCTTGCCTAGTCTCTAGACATCCCACGATGGGAAAGGTTGGCTTTTCAAAAAGTCCCCTGCATGAATCAGATTCAAGTCTCTGGCTGAGTTGTTTTATATGTTCTACTGCTCTGACATAGTTGCTTGTTCTTCTGCTTCCGTCTGACTTGAACCACCTTTGTTTTCAACAGACTTGTTTTCATTGGTAACAAAGACTTTAAGAAGCCCCCTACTGTTAAGGTGTGGAGGTGTGACTTGTCAAATCTACATATGTGTGTGTGTCTTATCTCACTCAGCCTTATAACCTGATTCTCTCACTCACTGCTCATTGAATTGAGAAAGCTCCTCGGATGAGGAGCGAAACGTCTTCTGTTACAAATAAAGCCCAGTTGTTTTTGTATTGAACGATGTTTTAATTAATTGGTAACTATGTTTTGGTGCAATAACTGAGCAGTCTCAGTGATGGACTGGTGTTCAGGCTCTGTGATGGTATGTTGAAATGGTCCACGAAAGAAGGATGCGGATCCTGTCCAGCAGCTATGGCTCAGAGAGAGGCTAGTTTTTCTGCCTTAACAGCTGATTCTGCTTTGCCGTTGTTCTGTGTGTATTCTGGTGATGAGTTCACGCGTTAAAATCCCCACAGTTTAGCAACTATTTAAATTCCTGTAATGCATATTGTTATCCACTGTCCAAGATCAAATATGTAATAACTTGATGGTTGAAATGATCTTTCAGTTTCCTCACTGTGGTCAATTTTGTGTCTGCCAAGTCTACATGTCAAAAGTTTGAGAATTAATATATTGTGACGCGATAGTCCTTGTTGTCAAACACAAACAAACCTGTGCCACATTTGCTCACAACCTGCTTGACACTTCTTATGACATTAGTGTTTCTTTTTGTTGTTTGTCAACCATGGATGTTTTATCTGCACTTCCGTGCCTTACCAGTAGACACACATTCTTGCCCTCTGTAAACATCCTTCTACATCTTGGTGAGGTGAATTAACTGGCTATTGATGCATGTCCTCATAGCATCAGGATTTAAAACATGTTCACCACCCTGGTGTCTTAACTCATCTTGTAATTAAAAGTTAGCCTGATTTCACTCAGTACCTGTAGCTTGTCTTTAGACCATCTTTACATCATGGTTTTAATGAGAAGTTGAAATGTTTTGTCCTTTTCTGTGGCTGTCTTTTTATAACGTAGTATGTTTGCTGAGATCGGTAAATGTAAAGCAAATGTCTCTTATTTAGCTTTCTGGTGGAACAGCTCAACTCAAAGTATCTGCTAGTACCAATTATGCTCCTGACTTATAAAATATTTCTACATCATGCTTACATATGCACAGCATCATAACTTGTGGCCTTTGGTGTGCTCAGTAATGTTTTTGGCACTATGGTTTCTAATGGCTTGTTATCACTAAACAGTTACTTTGTAGCCATACAGTATGTGCACTGATTTTTCAATGTTGATAATCATTGCATGGGACTCATTTTCAATCTGACTATGGGTGCGCTCTGGTTTTACTGCTCACGTGGTTAAAACAACTGGCTTTTCCATTTGCAATAGGGCTGCACCTAAAACTGTCTAAAGCATCAATCTGCATGGTCAGCTCTTTGTCATGTTTATAATATTTTAGTTCTGGAGCACGTAGCATTGTCTTTTTCAGACTGAAGCTTCTTCTGTCTTCTGCTGTTCAATTCCATTCAGTGACTTTCAAGTCTCAACACCTTGCATAGATCTGACAGCTGAGGGTAAAATGTGGTTAGGTGATTTACCATACCTATTAGTCTTTGCTTTACTGTTACATCTGCCAGTGCTGGCATCTGTTCAATGGCACACATTTTTCTGATCTAGTTTGAGTCTATCTGCAGTCAGGTGATGCTTGATGTGTAGCCTCCTTCTGTTTCAGTCTGAATTTGCCTACATTCAGTTTTATGATTGTTTGTCTGCATCTGTCAAGAAACTGATTCTCTCTTTATATATTTTTAATGAGAAATGCTCTGCTTCATCTTGTGTCTCTCCCTAACATGTGATGAGAATGTCATATGCAGTAATGCACAGTCCTGGCACACTGTCCAATGTTTGTATTAGTTTTCATTGAAAGACTTCAGGGGTCAGACTTATCCCCATTGACATCCTCAATCATCTGTGATGACCAAATGGAGTGGCAAATGTTATTAAATAAATGGAGTCTTCTTCCAGCTGCACATGCCAGAATCCACTCTTGATGACACCCACTGAACATTGATCACCTTTGCTTTCAAGAAGTCTGGTAAAATGACTGGCAACAGATAGTGACTGCTTTAGGGCTCTGTTCAAGGATTTGGGAGCAATATATATTATTTGGCTTGCTGTTCTGTTCCTGTCCAAGCACCATGGCATTGTTCCAGTCTGTACTGCATCCTGCAGGTGTGATGATTCCTCTGTGTTGCAGGTCTTCTTGATTTTCTTTCAGCAGTTTCATTATAGCCACTGGAACTCATTTATGTGGTAAATTCACTGACTTTACTGTGCTGGCGACCTCCGTTTTGACTTTTCCCTCCGAACAAACCTCTTCAGTGAGCACATCAGCATAATTGTCCTTAATGTCTTCACAGTTCTGTTGCAGGTTGTATATATTTGTGTATTTATTTGTTTGTGTGTGACTAGACTGCCTACTGCCATGATGAACTTATAGTGCACTTTAATCAGATTCATCGCCTCGTCGGCCAATCTATCAAGCAAAGCACTGCACCATCTTCATTTTTTACTTGGAACTCTATATATGTTATGCATTTTGGAGTTTCTTGTTTTGACTTTGCACCCCTCTAATAACATCAGCATCCACTTGTTGTACATGACTAGTACACTATTAATGTGTTCCAGCTCAATGTAGGTTTCAGCAGATTAATGAGGATGAGGTTGCAACTTACACCACAGTTTATTCAGAATTGTACTCTGTTTTTGCCTAACAGTACACCTGCATAAGGAACCTTAAGAGTCTATGTAAGCACTGCCCGTCTCTTCATCCTCCATTCTGTAATCTTTCTACTAGATGGAGTAGAGTGGAGTGGTGTGGACAGAACCGCCTGCTACTCAACGCTGGAAAAAGAGCTGCAGGTGGACTACAGGACGAAGATAAGCCCCCACCCCCCACCTCACAACTTTATCAACATCCAGGGTACTAAGGTAGAACCTGTGGATTGCTACAACTACCTGATGGGGATCCACCTAGACAATAAACTGGACTGGATAGCTAACACCAATGCCATCTACAAGAAAGGGCAGAGTTACCTTTTTTTTCTTTTTTTTTTTTCTGAGAAGACTCGGGTCCTTTAACATCTGCAGGACCATGCTGCAGATGTTTTACCACTCGGTGGTTTCCAGCAACATCTTCTATGTTGTGGTGTGCTGTGGCAGCAGGGTGAAGAAAGCTGATGCCAACAGACTCCATAAGATCATCAAGAGAGCTGTCTCAGTTTTGGGAGTGGACCTGCAGTCTCTGAAAGATGTGTCTGAGCAGAGGATGCTGAGGAAACTGCTCCAGATCCTGAACAACATGTCACACCCCCTGCATGCTACACTGGATTCTTACTGCAACAAACAATGTAATGTGTCTGTCTGCACTTGACCTATTTTAGACCTTAATTGTGGGTATTTATATATTCTCTGTTGTTTTTCATATTCTCTGTTATGTTTTAAATCTTGTGTGATTCTTTGTGTTTGTGCCTTTGTACTGAAACTATGGCACAACAATTTCCAGCGGGATCAATAGTTATATCTTATCTTATCTCATATTATCTTATCTTAGATATGTCTCTGTAACATCCATTACCTCCTTGTCTGTTTCTGTAATGCAGGTGATATACTCGTAGTTATGACTTACATATTATGTTGTTATAATTTTGTGTTTCTATCTCTTTTGGTCAGATTTTGTTTAGCATCTTACTGCAAAGTGTTTTTGTTTTTGGCCCTACCATACTTTGTACATTTTTTTTTTCTAAATATGGGCATTTATCGCCCTTTCTCATGTGTTTTCCCACATAATTTACACTGTAGTGTATTGCTGCATTTAAACTGGCACTGTGCTTCTTGCACTGTGTTCACCTTTTCCATCATAGGTCTGGTGATGGTTTTGACATGTTATTTAGAAATGTCAGCTGCTCTGCACAGCTGCAAACATGTGGAATGCAAAGTTTATCTCTTGAAGTAGTCCGTTTCTCATGCTTTTATTGTTACTTCTGCACACAATCCTGCTATAAGAGAATCTCTCAACATTCTGAATTTATTCTCTCACTTAAAGAAACTGGTCCGGATGACACAACTTAACCTTTTTTGTTGTTATTTACATGGATTATTGAGCTTACAACCCCCCTTTTTTTTTGTCCTGGAATTATGTTTTTGTTGACAGTGAGTTCAGTGGTATAACTGTTGATATTTTTACTGGTGTCCTGGTTTCTTGTGAAAATAAAGCATTGTTACTCAGCAGGCTTGTTCATGCAATGCTCATCAAAATTCTTGATAATGTCTATATTGTAAGCATCATTAGCTGTATCTGCCACCAGCACATTGTTCTTTGCTACTGTTGCCAACAAGAAATACAAATAGATTTGCCTTCTGTTTGTTATTTGCTTCTGGTATTTGTGTATGTCCAAAAAACATTCAAGCACATCCCTGCAGCTTGTCCATGCCTTTGCAAGGTTGCAGCAATACAGGCATGTGTGGCTCATTCAGTCCCTTCATGATGCCACTCGACGGTGTTTCACTGTCAGCTGAGGCTAACACTAAAGGGTACACTTTAGGGCTGCACTTCTAAACACCAGAACGAGTCCTTTACCACTGCCACCACGAGTTATGTCATTTAAAATTTACTAAACGTTGGCAGATAAACTAAATACAGCTTGGTCTGGACACTCAAACATTTGGCTACACACAGTAATGTAAATATATATTTTTCTCCATTCATCCTGAAGACAGCATCTTGGTTAGAATGAAAGAAAATAGTTTCACTAATGTCAAAGTTTTACCTATTCAATAGTTTAAAAATAGTAAAATACATGACTGTAGTAACGCATATGAAGAAAAAAAAAAACACTTTCTAGACTTTATACACTTTGATTGGGAAAACTTTATTTAATTATTGACGGTATAGCCTATTGTGATTTGCCCAAAATAATAAATTTTTTAAAATGCCATGTAACTTTCTTTTCAATAAAAGCACTGTAAAATAATAATAAAATAAGTTCACCTCGTTTTTTCTTTTTATTATTATTTTTATTAGTATTATTTATTTACCAGCCTTGTTATAACAATGTAAATGCTGAAGATGTCAGTGTGTACCAGTAAACGGGTAGACGGGGTTGTCCTCCTCCGTTTGGTCACTGGATTTAACCTCAGTCTTCTGTTGCATTGTGTTTAGAACACCGGCTCTGGACGTTTGATAACCTAGTTCTGTGAGAAATTAGGAATACGTCTTCAAAACGCTTGAGATTCTAGGTACACCTCAGGTAACCTTGTTGCTTTGTTTGTTTTTGGAGAAAAGAAAAAAAAAAATGTCGTGGACAGCTGCGCTGCGCTGCGGCCTGGCTCTTGTTTTTCTGTCCCTCCGCCTCGTCAGAGGAGACGTGAGCTTCTCTGTTCCGGAGGAGATGAAGCGCGGATCTGTGATTGGAAACATCGCGAAGGACCTGGGACTGGACCTGGGAGCGTTGTCTGCTCGGAAGGCTCGCATTGACACAGAAGATAACGGTGTTGCATACTGCGGAGTGAACCTCCACACCGGAGAGCTGATTGCGCAACAAAGGATCGACAGAGAGGCTTTGTGTGAGAAGAAGCCGACGTGTGTGATAAAACAGGAGCTGGTGCTGGGAGATCCTTTAGAAGTGCATCGTATTACCATCCATGTTCAGGATATTAATGATAATTCACCGCAGTTTAAGGAAGAATCACTAAAATTAGAAATACGTGAATCGGCTGTGAGAGGAGCGGCTTTCCTTCTGAATGAAGCGCACGACGCAGACATCGGAGAAAATGCTGTTCAGAGCTACTCCCTGCAACAAAACGATCATTTTAAATTAAATGTTAAATCAAAAGGAGTTGGGAGGAAATATAGTGAACTAATATTGGACAAAGAGTTGGACAGAGAGGTTAAAAGAGAAATCGTGTTGCTCCTCACAGCTCTAGACGGTGGATCTCCTCAGAGATCAGGTACTGCAGTTATTCATGTCTCTGTGCTGGATGCTAATGATAACGCCCCAGTGTTCAGTCAGGCTGTTTATGAAGCCAGTCTGCCTGAAAACTCTCCTTTAGACACTGTGGTGGTTACTGTGAGCGCGACTGATGCAGATGAAGGAGTGAATGGAGATTTGACTTATGAATTTGATCACGTGTCAGATGAAAACCAAATATTCATTCTTCATCCTGTTACAGGTGAAGTTAAAGTAGCGGGAGAAATAGATTATGAAAAGAAATCGTTTTATGATATGCAGATCATTTCTAAGGATGGATTAGGATTGGCGTCATATGCGTCTTTAATTATTGAAATAATTGATGTGAATGATAACGCTCCAGTTATTTATGTAAA